CTCCTTGTAATACCTATGTCATACCTTTGTCATTATACAAATGTATGTCCTCATTTGTCACAAAAACGTGCACACACACACACACAGAATTTATTTTATTTATTTATTTTTTTAAAGTAAAACTGTCAAACTGAAACATCAGTGAATAACATTTCAGTGAATAACACATTACTGTGTTGGCGGATTACCCTGCCAGTGCAATATTAGCCACATTATTTTTTAAGCAATGCAAATATAATTTGACATTGTTGTGTCTTGGTTTTGATAATGTAAACATACCGTTCAAAAATTTGGGATGGGTACAATTTTTTATGTTTTGAATGTTTCTTATGCTCACCAAGGCTGGTTGCTTGTTCATAAGGCTTTAATCCAAAAGTCATGTAAATGTTGTCTTTTTTCATTCTCTCTCGTAGGGGGCGCTGGTTAGTGCTTTGTCTGATGACAGTATTCACCTGTGGAACCTGCGACAGAAGAGACCAGCTGTGCTGCACTCACTCAAGTTCAACAAGGAGAGGTCAGCCACGGTCACTTAATCTACACTTGCTCCGAGTGTGTGTGTGCATGTAGACTGCTGATCAGTGTTAGCCACACGTTACCGTTGGACTGTTGGATCTGATAACTCTGTTTCTCTCTTTCATTCCCTTATTATTCCAGTTGACTTTCACTTGCTCTCTCGCTGTTGGTACCCAGGTGCAGCCCAGAACACAACAGTCATTTCTCTGTTGGTCGCACAGGGAGTCAACATGTGTAGTCATGTTTGCAAACAGTAGTGGGAAAAGAATTGAAGCAGAAAGAAGTCTTATTTTACTCATCCATCAGGAGTTTATTTATTTATTTGTTTTTAAATTGAATTAAAATGTTAATCAAGGTTTCCTGTGCTGTTAGTAATGTAATTTAGGAATAGTTCACCCAAATATGAAAATTCTGTCATCACCCTGATGTTTTCCAAACCTGTATGACTTTCGGTTGTCTGGAACGTAAAAGAAGATATTTTTTTAAATATGAACTTTTATGTTCCAAATTTTTGTTTTTGGGTGAACTATCCCTTTAAATGACCATCAAATACGATAAAGCTTATTGCATTATGCTTGCTTATACACTATTAAAAACAGGCCGATTTCCTCATATCTTAAAAGTATTTTTGTAAAGCATAGTTGACTAGAAGGCGAGTTTTGAGTTATTAAAGTTAGAGCAAATCTTCATCGCACATCGAAGTGTTTTATTTCATCCAGTTTTCTATGATATGTCCCCTTTAAAATCATAAAAAGTTGCGTATTTGAAACTGTATCCCCAACAGTGATGTGTTCATACTAAGGAAACTACAATCAGCATTGTAGCTCTGTGGCAAGAATTGAAGAATGTGTGGATAGACGATTTTTAATCACACTCATAGCTATAGATCAGTGCAGGAAGGTTGTAACCTTCTGATTCGGTTTGGACAGCTGTTGACTCTGATAAGACATGAGGCAGCCCTTCACTTATAATCTGCACTGCTTCTGTTGATGAGAGTGACAACACGCCAACAGCGGCTTTCAGGGTCAAACAAGTTTTTACCACATAACTGTGTGTGTGTGCGGGTCTCTGCACGTGTGTATCTGCCTCAGAAAACACAGGCAGGGGTCATAGGTATAGAACTGATGTGTCAGTGTGTCTGACATTTAGAAAGTGTTTCCCTTTGCGACCTGCCTCGCCCCTGAGGCTGCAGTGGGGCGACTGTGCCCCTGAGTGCAAATAAAATGTCTCTGTGTTGAGCTGTAAAGTTAGCATGAATTGACATTCAGAACGCATTTTACTTGCATAATGCAATGCATTTCTGAGCGGTATCATTTTATATTTGTAGAATTATTTTATATTATTTTATGTAATTATATATGATAATATTAATATTATTATGTATTTTTTTAAATAAAAATAAAATAACAAATTTACTTTTGAATGTAAATTTGAATCTGAATGCCAGATACATAAACATAAAAACAAACAATCACCCTTTCAGGAACAAGAATCGGCCCACAAAAGACTTGTGGGCTGTGATGCTGAAGGATGCTTCTTTTTTCGAAAGTATATTTTTGGGAGGAACATAGTTCGACCTACTGTCAGGACACCATGGGCATCACACAACCTGACGTTCTGACAGGAAGCTGTCGGAAGATGTTACAACAACTAGAGAGGGTTGAGAGAGGAACAGCCTGTTAAAAAACGCTCTTTCCTGGCATAGACATTAAAACTGCTCCCTGAAAATGCTCTCTAGATTGCACATTAAAGCATTTTGTAGGAAAAAGATATTAGACTGTGTTGACTTAAAATGCTTTTGCTGCACTTAAGCCATTCTGACGCATAAGAAAAACAGAAATTCATCTGCTTTAAATGCTGCACATTTGTTCTTACAAACATTTACAGGAGGAAATGAATTAGAGCTCATTCAAAGCAGATTCTTTTCCTCCATGTTGTACATGTGCAGCTGGTCAATTGTGTGTTTTATACGGTTGGCTTGCCTGAAGCAACACATTGTCGTTGATTATGAATCTTCTTGTATTTGTTCAGTGAGCCCGGTGTCTCAATCATTCAGAGCTGTAAAATGAATTTTCCCATATGATGCCAATGAAAGGCAATGTTAGGCAAGCCATTATGACCTACAGACACAATGTTTTACAGATGAAATGATGCCATCCTGGTGCTGTAACATAACAAATGATCAGGGGGGTTGGCGGGTTTTTAAGGCTGTTCCTGAATGGATTTGCTCTTTGCTTGTGTGTGTGTCCCTGCAGGACGAAGGCTTAGTAAACAGCAAGCCAAATGTCAGGAGTGCAGGGCATCCGTCTGTCATGCTAATACACTCATTTAGCTCATTATCACACCGTCACAGAAAAGCCATCTGAACACATATGCACACCTCACTCTCACACGTGGAGGGCTGTTGATGTTTGTGAATGTGGTTATGTCTGGTTCATCTAAACGAAAAGAAAAAAGGTGGGATACAAGTGTGGGAGAAAACCTGTGGCTCAGGTTTTGCCGACATTAGTGGGACCAAAGGGTCATTATAGTAAAAACTACATAAGTGGCAGGGAGCAGTGATCAGTCCCTTTAAGGAAAATGGCTTAATATTAAACATACTGAATGATTTCTTAATGAAATGAAAAAAAAAATACAGATTAGCTCAGTATAAAAACAATACAAGTGAATGTAGTGTCCCAGCCATGATAGAAAAATATACAAGTATATGTGTTTTAATGTGACACACAAATCTTGCCTAGTCATCCTGGAGTAGATGTGCGGATGTCATGTTAAATTCTCTGTGTTACATGACACACACACTCAAAGTGAAGTGATAGATGTGATCAATTTTTTCCTGTGCTAATTAATTAATTCATTAAAGAAGGATCATTAGCTAATTATGGAAAATGTGCCAGAAAAGACCTAAATACACTCTAAAAAATGCTGGGTTAAATATAACCCAGCGCTGGGTTAAAAAGAGACACACCCAGCTATTGGGTTGTTTTGACCCAGCGGTTGGGTTGTTTTGAAACCAACCGTTGGGTCAAAACAACCCAATAGCTGGGTTTGTCCCTTTTTAACCCAGCATTTTTTAGAGTGTAAGTAATTTTTTTTCCACTTAAACCTTTTGCAATTAAAGAAATGGATAGTAATTTTGACAAAATGTTCACTTACCTGAGATGATGACATAATGTAAACATAAATATTAAGATATATATAATTGTATAATAAAAAATATAAATTATCAATTAAAATAATAGTTTGAGGTAAATTGTGATAAATGTATACATGTAGAGCTGTAGTGCATATATATAAACTGTGTGTGTGTGTGTGTGTGTGTGTGTGATTTGCAGTTCTGGAGCCGTGCTAAAATACGCCATATAATAACAGCTAACCAATCGTTATTTTTGTTGGATCACAACAGGTTATGTTAGGAACTAGAACTTCTAGTGCAAGAACAGAAAGTAATACAATTGTATGGAAGCCCATTTCAGAGAGAGAGAGAAAAAAGTAACTGTTTTATTTTGAGGCAAAAAAAAAAAAAAGCTTTCATAAAATTATTTAAATAACATTTTAGTGGTCATTTGTTCAAATACTATTATTTTATGTGGTAACCCTTGTGGAAATGTTGCACTTTAGCACACTTTTTGACTTTCACATTAAATACTTAAGTGTGAAGTGAATGCAATGTTTTTGCAACTTAATTCCATATTAATTGCAATTAAATTTAAAATTAATTATATTTAAATGTATATTAAATACAATTAGCTTAACATTAGAGTCTTTTTGACCCACTTAAATAAGACTTAAGTACATATGTACCGTACTTTCATAATTACTTCTATTGTCTACTGAAATATGGTTGAAGTACTGCTGAATGTACCGACACGCATTTATGATAAACTATAATTTACTTTAATGTCATTTCTAATCATAATATTGTAATTGCACATTTGTAGTTTAGTAAATTTAAAATATATTAACTTTGTATATAATTTCAAATAACACCACAGTAAAAATTCTAATGTGCTTTAGTACGTTAATCAACACATTAAAATAAGTGTACTTCTTTATAACACAACAAAACATTATTAAAACATAATGATTTGAAATGTACTTTAAAGTAAAACTTTTAATGTGACATTATCATAAAGGTCACTTTTTAAAAGCCTACTTAAGTGTGTTAAGAAAAGTGATGAAAGCGTCTCTCTTCAAGTCACTTAAGTGGCCTTTTATTTGATTAATATGAAATTAGCTGCAAGTAGAGTTTAAAAAAAATGTACTTTTTGAAGTACATTACAAGTGCACATTCAACACAATAAAGCGCACTTCTTTTATAGAGCCTGTGTTATTTAATCGCTCAATTGTACGTCATGTGTAATAACGACCTTCAGATATGACCTCATTCACAATACTCATTGCTTAAATATTGTTGGTCTTTTCTGGAATTTTCCCTTCTGTTAATGTTTGTCTCTGTAGCGAGTTTAATGGTTAAAGGTCCAAGTATAGCAGCTCAAAGTTCCTGTTTAAAGATCTGAATTGCTGCTCAAAGGTTGCATGTAAGTGTAAATCAGACATAGAAGTTCACGACCCGACCCTGAGGCCTGATTCCCGTCTCACTCTGTAGTATTTCTCAAACACCGATCCAGAAGGACTCTGATAAGGTTTGCTCCAGTTTCAGATGATTGTTTGGCGTTTGGTCCTGAAGGTGGAGAGTGTTGCAATAGTTTAATCACTCACTCAGATGTCGTCACTGGAGGTTTGTTTAGTGGGCTCAGAGGGTGTTGTCCAGCACACACTCATAATCTTCAACGTGTTTGTAAAATCCATGAGTGCTTCCGATAGGATTAGATGCAAGGCCTGTGTTTTACCTTGAGAAAAACAGACCTGCTCAGACTTCCTGCTTTATAATAACGGTGTGATAACGGTTTGATGAAGGCAGAGATAGTCTGCTGTTTTACTGTCTGTGACTGAATCCAGGCTCTAGACAAAAAAATAGACAATAAAGGAGCCTCTGGC